CCTCTCCCTCTCCCTCTCCCTCTCCCTCTCCCTCTCCCTCTCCCTCTCCCTCTCCTTCTCCCTCTCCCTCTCCCTCTCCCTCTCCCTCTCCCTCTCCCTCTCCCTCTCCCTCTCCCTCTCCCTCTCCCTCTCCCTCTCCCTCTCCTTCTCCCTCTCCCTCTCCCTCTCCCTTTCCTTTTTTTCTCTCTCCCTCTCCCTTTCCTTTTTTCTCTCTCCCTCTCCCTTTCCTTTTTTCTCTCTCTCCCTTTCCTTTTTTCTCTCTCCTTCTCCCTTTCCTTTTTTCTCTCTCCCTCTCCCTTTCCTTTTTTCTCTCTCCCTCTCCCTTTCCTTTTTTTCTCTCCCTCTCCCTTTCCTTTTTTTCTCTCTCCCTCTCCCTTTTTCTTTTTTCTCTCTCCCTCTCCCTTCCTTTTTTTCTCTCTCCCTCTCCCTTTACTTTTTTCTCTCTCCTTCTCCCTTTCCTTTTTTCTCTCTCTCCCTTTCCTTCTCCCTCCCACTACCCTCTCCCTACTCCACACCTCCCTCTCCCTCTCCTTCTCCCTCTCCCTCTTAGTCTCCATCCCCTCATCTCCCTCTTCCCTCTGCCAAGACGAAGATCCTCCAACATCCAATTTTCTTTTTTTTAAGGCAATAATGAACAAAAGGTCAAAATCACAAAAATACAAAAGGAGTTGAATAAACCACCGATTCTGAAAAAGGAAATCCAAATCCACTGCTTGAAGGCACCACGCGTCCTTGGCATTATGCGTAAAGGTCTCTCGTAAAGAAATTATTCCATAGGACAGATGCTTGAAGCTATGCCTAAAGCACAGTTTAAGGTTATACAGAAGCACAACCACTCTTTCAGTATGCGCTGGCGGGAACATTTGAATGTGTGCGAGTGAGTGTAACTGGATAGTGTTCTTGTGCGTGTTACCGAATGAAAAGAGTGTACTGAGTGAAGAGTTCTGCGAAATGGATACTCGCGCGCACACACACACACGCACGCACACACGCGCACACACACACACGTACACACACACACACACGTACACACACACGTACACACACACACACACACACACACACACACACACACACACACACACACACACACACACACACACACACACACACACACACACACACACACTTCAATTTGCAAATTCATCAGTACGCAGTACGCACACACATGCGCGCGCGCGTGTGTGTGTGAAAAAGAGAGAGAAAAATAAAGAGAAAATGGGGCCAAGAGAAGGGAAGGGAGGCGGACGAAGAGGGAGGGAGGGAGGGAGCGTACGATTGTCTTCGCCCCTAAAATAACATCAAATCTAACCCTTTTTTACAATAACAATAAAACCAGCAGGCAATGCCACGTCCAAGAACGGAGTATGGGGGAAGGGGGTAGCTGTTCCCCCATGCCTGGCAGCGCCCCGAAACCTACCACGTGGCCCGTGCTCGCTCCCCGGCCCTCACCTGAGAGCGCAAACCCACTGCAATTCCAGGGACAAATTCTGGTGAGTACCAAGCAAGTGCATCGTGGAATCAAAGGCTCTTAATTCATTCGTGAAAAAGCTTATTGTTAATTACGCGAGGTGCATGTGTCGGACTGGTGTTGTAAAGGAGCGTTGGCGTGCGTAGGTTGGCAGTGGGAGCAACAGTTGGGGTTAGTGTACAGCAGATGAGGAGAAGAGAAGGGAAAGAGAGTGATGAAGCGCTGGCCGTGAGCTCGGCTGTTGTGACGTTGCTGATGGTGACTATGAGCATCATAAGGTTCTGTGAGCGGTGAGAGAAGCTGGGGGGAAGCCAGCATGGATGCGTCACCATGCTAAGCCCGGCCCACAAAGCAATAGGCAGCAAGGCACTGGGACTCACCCACAGGCGTTGGAATGTCGTAGGTCCCCATGTCTCCTAGGACACACTCCTATATGCCCTGCCCTGGGCTCTTGCCCGCTGCCATGTTCATTAGTTTACCCATGACACGTGTGCCACGTCTGCTTCGCGCACGAGTGCCAAGAGCGGTATAATGTGTGTCCCTTCGCGCCAGGCACAGGCGATTCACATGGCACCGCTGTTGATAAAGCTTGTGAAATCAAGCGGACATCGACAAAGCTTGTGCGATTTCATTGGAGGCAACGTTCTGCAGCACCAAGGTGTCACGTTGCAGTACACTATCAACTTTCCTGATTAATACGAATATTTCACTAAATAATCATTATTATTTCTCATTCTATTCATGGACTCCTCACTACGGAAACCGCAATCTTGTTTGCTATCACTCTTACTCTGAAATGTATTTTTTTTCCTTTACGATATTTCTACGTACACACCAAAATAACAATAAAGAGCATTTTTGTTTGTCGTTGCCTTTTGTTAAAAATACGACTTCGCTCCACAGCTCGAGTCAGCCGCCGTTACCTACACAAAGCGATCAAATAGTTCAAAACAATGTGCCAAAAAAACGTAGCCTAGCAATACCAAAACAACGTCCGGACTCTGAAGTGTATCAAGCCTCGTGAAAGTC